CTTGGTCTACCTCGTGCTCTACGTCCTTCTTCTCTTTCTATGTATGCTTTGTATGGTATGGTGTCACAAGGCATTCTCTCTAAGTGGGCAAACCATTTCACCTGCTGTCTTGGTATGTAATTTAGAATTGGTTCGGTGCCGACTTTTTCTCTTATGATCTCATTCCTGATCTTATCTCTTATGGTCACTCCTACAGCCCTTCTCAGACATCTCATTTCCATGGTTACTAATTTTCTTTTATGGTTTGTAGTGAGTGACCATGTCTGGCACTGGTAGCACAGAGTTGGTATAAATATGCGTTGAATAAGATGTCTCTTTGTGCTGATTGGGATTGTCTTATGCTGTAAGAGAGAGAGAGAGAGAGAGAGACGAGAGATGAGAGAGAGAGAGAGAGAGAGAGAGAGAGAGAGAGAAGGGGGGGGGGCTAGCTGTCCCAATACTTGGTTTGCTTTACTGCATCTAATGTTAATTTCTTTATCCAATTTCCCATCTTCGGTAAATGTAGTTCCCAGATATTTAAACTCAGATGCCTGTTTAATGCCTTTGCACTCTATTGCTATGTTTAGATCTGTCTTCTTTTTTCCTATTGACATTACTTCTGTCTTTTCAGTGTTGATTCTCATATTGTTTGTTTTACATTCTTCATTCATGGATGTTAGATGTTGTTGCAATTTCATGGCTGTATCTGCTATCAAGGCCTGGTCATCTGCAAATAGTTCATCCGTCTATACAGACACATTTTCGCACCTTCCAAATAATTTTTCACTTATCTACTAACTGTCCATGATTTACTTCCATAGATCAAAATAGCATTTATGTAGCTTTTAAAAATTCTCTTTCTCGTCTCAATTGACAAAGACAGATTGCACAAAACATTCTTTATTTTGTAAAATGCTGCCTTTGCTTGAGCTATTCTACATTTAACTTATTTAATACATCTTTTATCAGATGTTATCAGGGTACCCAAGTACTTAAACATACCAACTTACTTGAGGTTTGTCCCATTTACTTTGATGTTGCATTTTCGAGATTAAATTTTCTTTGTAATTACCATTATTTCTTGTTTGTTTCTACTGATGAAACTAAGACCTCTGTTTTCACTTTCCTTTACACCTTTATATCTATTATTTCTTGCAGTTGCGTTTTTCTTTCAGCGATCAAAACTATATCATCAGCACATCGCAGGTTATTGAGAAAGCCGATATTCCTAGCATACCAGGTATCATCATCATCAGATGCCTTGCCGACTGGCGTGAGCGATCATGCCTCTCCACAATCTGCGATCTCCTGCAGCATGTATCAGTTCGTGTGCCGACACACCTCCATAACATGCTCTTGTTGTCTGTCCAAGGTCATTAGGCATTATTCGGTAAAACCACATATCTGAGGCCTCAAGAAATTGTTTGGCCTGCCTACCGATTGTCCAGGATTCACAGCCATATGTTAAAACGGGATGTATGTAGCAAGCAGGAATTCTTTTTCTAACTCTCTATGACAAGGATATATTGCACAAGATGTTCTTCATTTTATAAAATGCAGTTTTTGCCTGTCCTATTCTGTTTCTTATCTCAGTTATGCATCTTCCATCTGATATTATCCATGTGCCCATATACTTAAGTTTATGTACTTGTACCAAAATAACACTATCGACTTTTATTAAACATTTACGAATAATCCATATCAGGCATGGATCTGATTATTATTTCACTGACAAACTGAATAAATCTGGTAATAGTACACATTCCTGTCTAACGCCTTGCTTAATGTTTTCAAAAGTTTCAACTTACTTGTATTTCTTATGGGTGCTTCTTTATGCCAGTAAAGTTGTTTAAAGAACATTACCATCAATGTTATAAGGTATATATATATATATATATATATATATAATATATATATATATATATATATATATAATATATATATGTATGTATGTATACCTCAAACACACACACACACACACACACACACACACACACACACACATATATATATATATATATATATATATATATATATATATATATATATATATATATATATATTTATTGTGTGTGTGTGTGTTTGTGTGTGTGTACACACATACAAATATGCATACATATCTTTGTGTGTATGTGTTTATTTTAGCAACACTCGCTTTTGCCATTTTGCCCGCCCCCCCCCCTTCCACCCCCAAAGCGCATATTTTCCTATTTAAAAAAAACATTTATGTGTGTATATTTCTCCACCCCCTCCCCCCTTTTCATGGATGACTATCGGACTCTCCCCTCCGACGCTACTGTCCACACCATACTGACTGTGCCACTTTCCCATACTGACTGTGCCACTTTCTTATACTGACTGCGCCACTTCCCCATACTGACTGTGCCACTTCCCCATACTGACTGTGTCACTTCCCCATACTGACTGTGCCACTTCCCCATACTGACTGCGCCACTTCCCCATACTGACTGTGCCACTTCCCCATACTGACAGCACCACTTCCCCATATTGACTGTGCCACTTCCCCATACTGACTGTGCCACTTCCCCATACTGACAGCACCACTTCCCCATACTGACTGTGCTACTTCCCCATACTGACAGCACCACTTCCCCATACTGACTGTGCACTTCCCCATACTGACAGCACCACTTCCCCATACTGACTGTGCCACTTCCCCATACTGACAGCGCCACTTCCCCATACTGACAGCACCACTTCCCCATACTGACTGTGCCACTTCCCCATACTGACTGTGCCACTTCCCCATTCTGACAGCACCACTTCCCCATACTGACAGCGCCACTTCCCCATACTGACAGCACCACTTCCCCATACTGACTGTGCCACTTCCCCATACTGACTGTGCCACTTCCCCATACTGACAGCACCACTTTCCCATACTGACAGCACCACTTCCCCATACTGACTGTGCCACTTACCCATACTGACATCACCACTTCCCCATACTGACAGCACCACTTCCCCATACTGACAGCGCCACTTCCCCATACTGACTGTGCCACTTCCCCATACTGACAGCACCACTTCCCCATACTGACTGTGCCACTTCCCCATACTGACACTACCACTTCCCCATACTGACTGTGCCACTTTCCCATACTGACTGTGCCACTTCCCCATACTGACAGCACCACTTCCCCATACTGACAGCGCCACTTCCCCATACTGACAGCACCACTTCCCCATACTGACTGTGCCACTTCCCCATACTGACACTACCACTTCCCCATACTGACTGTGCCACTTTTCCATACTGACAGCACCACTTCCCCATACTGACTGTGCCACTTCCCCATACTGACAGTTCCACTTCCCCATACTGACTGTGCCACTTCCCCATACTGACAGCACCACTTCCCCATACTGACTGTGCCACTTCCCCATACTGACTGTGCCACTTCCCCATACTGACTGTGCCACTTCCCCATACTGACAGCACCACTTCCCCATACTGACAGCACCACTTCCCCATACTGACTGTGCCACTTCCCCATACTTACAGTGCCACTTTCCCATACTGACACTACCACTTTCTATACTGACACTACCACTTTCCATACTGACTGTGCCACTTTCCATACTGACACTAGCACTTCCCATACTGACTGTGCCACTTTCCATACTGACACTACCACTTTCCATACTGACACTACCACTTTCCATACTGACTGAGCCACTTCCCCTTACTGCTTGTGCCACTTTCAAACACGTGACACTACAGTCCTGTCCCCGCACGGTGATAACCGCCTGTGACAAGCAGAGGGCAAAGAAGGACATATCCGACAAATTTTCACTATTGTAACGATAACTAAAAGTGCAATTTCCCACGCGCTTAAGTGTATGGGGCATAGACTTATGTTTTATAAAGGGTTAGCATATGAGATGTTAATATATGTAAAGACCAAATTATGGTATCTGAGATCAGTTCAAATATCTGTAAAGATAGACTTTACATTATAATAACTATGATTGTTTGAACGTACATTTAAAATATATTGAACGTGACAATACTCCTACCATCGTATACAAGTCATACATAAGCTACGCGATATTGCATAACCAAACATAATTAGTAGACATAATATTCATTACCGAAATAAAATATTAAAGCACACACAGGCTATATATATATATCTAAAATTGTGACCCGAGTGGGTTTAACAGGGAATTGATGTTTACATACAACAACTACTACGGCATCTGCTACTACTCAACGTTAGTTGCGTATCCTTTACAGGACGTTACAAAACCAAACCCAACAACCCCTGGCTACTGTGTGGTTTTTCTAGGCAAATTTACGTCCAGTAGTTTGCCATTGCTTTCTGGCTTTCTTGATACTAATGTCGAAACCAACGCAAGGCGCATGGCCTGCAGCTCGGATCGAACCCGGCATCCCGGCATTACGAAGCGTTCGCATCGACTTAGCCACAGAGCCGACGCTGCTTCTACTTCTAATATAATTTATAGACGAATCGGCATTCGGTGGGTGATGTGGTCAATATTACACCGGTTGCCTTTACCTCCCAGGACTTTACCTGGTTCCCATTTAAGACGTGGAGCCAAGGTCATTGAAAAAATAAAGTCAGGCTCAACGATTACTAAATGTAATCCCGGGCGGTAGATTTTTTTCCAGTATGATGAAAGTCTTCGAAATGCCGCCGCTAACACCTTCTCGCTATTAGATCAAAAATTCAAACGGTATCTTTCGCTTCTGCCGCATCCCTTCTACGGTGCCGCCTGGTGCGGCCTCGTCTCTGTATCATTGCACGGCACGGTCGACTAGATACAGAAAGAAAAAAAAAAGTGTGATATAGAAAGTGCCCAAAAGCTGAAGCCAGGCGCCCAGTGGTTGTATTAATTATGCGCGTGCGAGCGGGCGGGCGGCGGGTCACGTGGGTGGCGCGGAGTCAGTTTTGTCCCCTTGCAGACGGCAGCATCCGGGCACTCGACAAGGTTAGAGTCTCCTTGTAGCACCCAGCTCTCTCAACCCAATAAACATGGAGAAATTAACATTCAGGCAGAAAGTCGACGGTTTCTTCAAGTTTCTTTGGAATTCCGAGAAAAAGGAGGTTTTAGGCCGCACTGGAAGAAGCTGGGGTAAGTGTGTTTGTGGTGTGTGCTAGAGAAAGAATGACGGTTGAGCGGGAGCCGGACCGAACATGGTGGTTGCCTTGTGTCTGCTGGGGGGTCGATAGCCTTCAATATGTCGGCACTTCCTACAGCGGCAGCCTGTTTCATCTTCTTCTTTCCTTGCTTGACCGATGATAGAAATTGTCAGTACTTAAGATATACTGTACTGATTTATCGTATAATTAACCGGCTGTGTTGATCATTTCTTATCAACCTTTCTCTATCGATTTTTTTTTAGCGTGGAATAAAATTATTATTTGTGAGTGAGTAGTGTTGGTGTAATGAGTGAGTGGGTGGGTGGAGATATATCACAGCCAGTTCGTTTCTTTCCCATCTTTTGAACGTAAAAGAAAAGGTAGAAGTTAAAGAGTCATCGTAAAGACAAGATACGGTTGTATTTTTTCTCTATTTATTCTACCGGTACATACCAGTAGTCTCTGTTTGTTACTGATATGTCTCATATTCATATGGTCTACTGTAGTAGCGTTGTTAATGTATTGTGTAACCGTTCCTCTCTATCCGCTATTTATACACGTGAGATAATTTTGAGTGAGAATCCAATCCCTTTTCTGTCTGAGGTAATTGTCTATCTAATTCTGTCCAGTTAAATAATTTTTGGGTCTCAAAGAGTCAGACATACTCATACTGCTCAGAAATGGCAGAAAGAGATAGTGTCAATTGGATTAGTGTCTGTTTATGATGTGATCATCTGAATGAATTAGCAGTGATGGGCGTAGTGTGTATTCATGTAATTGTGTTACTGGGATCATAAGAGCAAAACAGTTGGTAGCAGCACTGAAACCTGCTACTAATGTCATAAAAACTGACTCCTTGCATTGGTTCCAGGTCCCCATTTTGGGAGAGAAAGAATAGACCCCCCACCAAGCATGACATAAAAGGCAGCTTCCTCATGTGGGTTCCCATGCACACTGTAGAGAGGGGAAAAGGAATACACCCACTACCTCTCTAACAAGCATGTTACAAGAGTCGATTACTTCTTTCGAAATCTGGGTGCATCTGCCTGGGAAGCAAGGAACCAAGGGTCTACCTGCGAGGCATGTAACCAACTGACTGCATAAAAAATGACAGATCTGTAAAACAAATGTGCACACAAAACTGAAGTCTGAATGTAGAATGTTTAAAAAAGAAGAAAATAGCTAAGGAGGATTGACTGCTTCATTCTGTAGTAAAACTTCATGATCCACTTAGGTCATGATTCACCAGATTATAAGCAAGTCTCAAAATGAAAGGGATGGGAGACCTAGCATGGTCAGAATAATGGTCTCCTATTTAAATATCTATTGGTAAAAACTCAGAAAAAAATGAAAACATATGAAATGAAAATTACTTCATATTTTTGTGATCGCTGTCTGATCAACACCGACAGAAAGTTCTTGTCATAAAATTGACTTTAGGGGGTGGGGGGCCTTTAGTTTCATAAAACTGTAGGGTGTTGGCTCACTGGTAGTCTCAGTATTCCCCTTAATTATTTAGGCATGCAAGAACATGTTGGTTTATCCCTAATCATAGCTGAAAAACAAACCCAGCTAATTAGCGATGAAAGGCTAGTGATAAACGAGAAACCCAGTTCTCTTATCTTCTTCATGTGATGAAGTAAAGGACCCTTTTCCAGGCGTATCTGGCATACAGGGCTAAAATAATCAGCACACCTGCCACCTTGACTTCCCAGGACTTTACCTGGTTCCCATTTAAGGTTTGGTGGGCCTTGGAGGCAAGGTCATTTTTTTAAAAGTCACTTGTGTGGACACGCAGTACCAGATGACAATATTAATGGAATTAGAAATCAGAAAAGATTTAGAACCTGGAAACCTGATTATTGACTGAAGGCAGGAAAAGTGAGAATTGTCAAATATTTTGTAGGCTTAAGCTTACTGTAAGTAGTGCAGAAATCTTGACAATGAACAGACATAGAAAATCAAACTGCGGCACATATGTGGGTATACAGAAGAATAAGGGACCTGCTACATGATGATGATAATGATGATAGTGAAAGTTAAAAAAAAAAATGATACAGAAGAGGTATTATGACTACATTAGAAGATAAAACTTTTAAAATTAAAACTGTAGAGGAAAGTTGAAGGTGATACTTCTTCCCTGTAGTGTCTATTGCACTCCTTCAGACCTAAGTATGTATTGCTTTATAGCCCCCTTTTTTGAGGTGTGGAGTTAAAGTAACAACTTTTTTGGACTTAAAGAGTTAATAGGAAACTTGTTACCAGAGAAAGATCAAGGAAGTTAACTGCTGACAAAGAATGGAGCTGATGATCCACTTATACTTCTGTGTGAGTGTGTGTGTGTATTATTATTAAATTACCAAAGAAAGATTCAGGAAACTGTAACAACTGGAGAGGTGACACATTACTGTCAGTAACTAGTAAAATCTTTAGCCGGATAATTCTTAAAAGAATGGCTCTTAACTTAAAAGTATGTATATTGAGGCAAGAGCAGGCAGGATTCAGAAAGGGGAAATCATATATTGATCACATCTTCACCCTGCGTCAAATAATTGTACAAAGTAACGAATGGAATAGTGCAGTTTATATGATCTTTGTGGATTTTGACAAAGCCTCTGATAGACTGCAAAGGGAATCACTATGAAAGATTTTGTGTCCCTATGGTGTACCACAGACAATAGTAAATTAGATCAAAGCTATTTACTTAGAGTTTTAATGCAAGGTAGTCTGTGATAATCAAACAACAGAAAGTTTCTTTGTCAACATAGGAGTCAGAAAGGGATGCACACTATCCCCTTTTTTGTTCAGTTTGGCCATTGACTGGCTGATGAGGAAGTTTCATGAGACAGAAAAAGAGGCATCAGGTGGTCACTCACCTCTGTGTAGAGGATTTGGACTATGCAGATGACATCAGCCTTATATCAAGCCGTCATATGGATGCTCAGGAAAACATTGAAAAACTTTCAACAACAGCCCTTAAAATAGGACTCAAAATAAACACCAGTAAAACTAAAGTAATGAGAAATAACTACAAAACAGATATCCAATTATCTTATGAAGCACTAGAGGAAGTTGAAGAATTTTTATACCCCAGAATTAAAGTTACTCTAGATGGACATCCTGAAAAGGATGTAACATCAAGAATAAACAAAGCAAATCAAGCATTGTCATGCTTAAAAATATTTGGAAGTCAAACTGATTTAGTTTGAAGACAAAACTCAGAATATAGAAGAGAACATTTTTGGAATACTATTATACAATAGTGAATGTTGGAAAATGACAGCGGGAATTACACACAAACTTGAGAGTTTTCAAAATAAATATGTAAGGAGAATTCTAAGAATATTTTGGCCAAACAAGATCTCAAACGAAGAACTGAGGAGGAAAACAGAATGTGCATCATTGGAAAATGTTATCAAAGTAATACGATGGAGATGGCTTGGACATGTTTGCAGAATGCCTTGTGACACTCTGGCAAAAACAGCTCTCCGGTGGACAGCAGATGGGAATAGGAGACGTGGACAACCTAAGGAAACCTGGAGAAGGAAAGTATAAGGGGAAATGAAGGAATGTAAACTGACATGAGATACCGTGGGCAGAAAAGCAGCAGACTGGCAGCAGTGGAGATCACTTGTGAATGCCTAATGTGTCAACAAAGAGGATATCGTGTGTGTGTTTTTGTGAGAGATGGGTGGTGGTGGTACAAACAATCAGTGCACTTAAGATCGCTAGTTATGTGTCCATGATTTGTCCTAACCTTGTGCTGTTTCTCCCCCACAGCTGAAATAGGTGCATTCTACTTGGTATTCTACACAGTCCTAGCAGCTTTCTTTGCTGCCACGATTGCAGGCTTCTATCAGACAATCGATGATGACTATCCAAAACTACAAGGAGATAGTAGCTTATTGAAAGCTAATCCTGGTAAGGCTGTGTCACTTGCTACGTGGTCCTACAGCATGCGTGTGTTTTAAATATAAAATGTTCTAAAGCATTGATTCCCAAACTGTGCGTCCCAGGGATCTGCAACCTCTTCCCATGGGCGCCGTGAAATATTCGAAGAAAGACGAGTTTTTTTGTGTGTGTTAATCTCTTACATACGAATAGTCATACTTTTATATAGGTTAGGGCGATGTGGAAATTTTAATTGAAAAGGTTGCTGCATCTAAGAAAAGTTTCAGAAACGCTGTTCTAAAGGATTGATTCATATTTGACATGGATGATGTGGCCAAAGTCATTGCTGGTGTTTATCTCTATTTCTAACAAATCATGCAAAGGCCACAGTTTGTAAAGCATATGTCCCTTCTTCTAGTGTCATTGTCTTGAGGTGCAGTCTGGCCCTAAACCTCTGACATCAAACCTTCTGCTGTTTCATTTTGAGAATCCAACCCCCCCCACCACCACTCCCAGATATTTGTTTGTCTGTGTTACTTCTACGCTGGTCCTCTACACCTGATAAGATACAGCAAAATATACCAGACAGTAAATGGTGCTGTGTATTGTTTGCAAACCCGTTATTTTAATACAGTAGTTGTTGCATTGAGAAAATAACAGACTGTTTTATTGAACAATCTGTTTTATTCATGGGTCACTAATTGTTTCCTCAGGCATGGGTTATGGACCAATGCCGGACATCGAAACAACTTTAATCCATGTAACGAAGGAGGGAAGAAAAAGTTATGTGGATCACATTAACAAAATGCTCGCAGGTAAGTTTTTATCTCTACATATCTTTCCAAAATGACCTTGGCTCCTAGGTCGACCCAGCCTCAAATGTGTGCTAGGTTAGGTCTTGGGAAGTAAAAGAGGCCGGCGTGATGTTGAAATCACCCACCATGTGCCAGTTGGTCTATTAACTATAGGTAACACTGTTTTCCCAATATGCCTTGAGGTATGGAAGGGCGTCTTTATCTTATCTTTCCAACCAACATTTGTATGTGTGTATGTGGTTTATGTATGGATGAGAGATGGTAAAGAGTCCCTAAAGACATCCTCTAAGGTGAATTACAGATTGGTGGAAGATGTCAGGGTCAGCCTCTGTTAGTTTTAAGATATGTGCAAGCAGGGTATGAACGATACAGGTATTGGGGTAGATTTATGGGAACAGGAGGTAATGGGCTGTGTTACATGGAGAGAGAAAATCAGGAAAGCAATAGGGATAAAGGAGAAAATGATTACAGAGAAGTACAGAGCTGAGTGTTTTGAGAATAAGCATGTCTGATTAATGGGATGACAGCAGTGGTCCTGACATTGTGAGCATTTTTTGTGCTAGCTTCCTAGCTTTTGTCTTACTGGTGACACACATTGCTGCAGTTATCACTTGCCTATATACATCCCTCACAGTGGCCTTCTATGTCCTTCCAGGTCCATCACAGCATTTAAATTCTGCATGTAGGTGACAAATGTGGCACTGCACTTGCCAAAAGTATCTGGATATGAAGTGTTTTACTTTCCAAATGTTTGTAGCCGATTTGGGGGGGTTGATTTGCACTTTGTGTGAAAGCATGCGCATATAGAATAAGTTATGCTTGCCTAATTATTTGGACAGGTCAAACATTGCTGTTGTGTTTACCTTTCAGACTATAATCAAACAAACTTGGATAATACGGATTGCTCCAGGATTAACTCAACCAGACCCAATGAACCTATTTCTTGTGAAGTGAATTTTAAAGAGCTCACCAAGAATTGTAACGAGGAAAATGGATACGGTTTCCTAGATGGAAAGCCTTGTATTTTGCTGAAGTTGAACAGGGTAGGTAGATTGTTGTTTGTGTATAGTGCCAGGTTACGTGCCTCACACATAATGGGATGTGGGTTTTCTTAGTTGGTTGAAGATCTGAGAATTACTTGAGTTCAGATTTGAAGTTTGCTTTGTTGATATTTTTTCTTATTTGCGTTCACCGGCTGTAAACTCTGGCGGAAAGTTCTGGTTGTTCATTCACTTCTGGACTGCAGTCATGTTCCAGAACATGAGTGTTGCGTGTGCATCCGTTTGACAGATCTGACTAATTTGTATGTATATCGTTGATTCCTTGCCTCTCAGGCAGATGCACTCCAACTTCAAAGGAAGCTCCTAATTAGTCGACTCTTACGACATGCTTTTGGGTAGGCAGTGGGTCTATTCTTGTTTTTCCTATAATAGGACCTAGAACCCACACAAGGATGTTGACATTTAAATTCTTCCCTCTTCTTTTTTCTTCATCTTCTTTTTTGCCTTCGTCTTCTTGTTTTGCAAAAAATCATTTTTCAACATTTAGGCCCTTGGGTACACTTAGTTGAGTTGCTTTGTTCCAAATGTATTGGTGCTGCGTTATCTTTGAGTGAAACAGGATGGGCCAAGTGAGGCATACTGTTGCATGGGTTTTACATGGTCTGTACCAGGGCTATTCACTGGTGGCCCGTGGGCCAAATCTGGTACGCAGAGGCCTAGCAAGTGGCCATTGATTGTATTAATGATCTTTCTATGTTGGGGCTTGCACCATTGGCCCGCGACGATCCCTATTGTCCAACACTTTAACCCCTGAGTAGACATAGTTGAGTTACCCTTGTCTGTACTGTACTGCCCAGGCATTGTGCTATGGAGGATCACCATGGGCTGTATTTCCCCTGCCTTTTTATAGTACTGACTAATATTAGCATTTGAAGAAGAAGAAAAACTGGTCAACTGCCAACACACAGTCTATCTGTCTGACACTTTCCTACTGACCTGTTACCATATACAGGGTTAACTCTTCTTATGACAGAGTTCTGTTCTAACAGGTCGTAAGTTGGACTAGCCGTCATGAAATGAAGTCTTTGGGCAGTGACTATGAAATGAAGTCTTTGGGCAGTGACTATGAAATAAAGTCTTTGGGCAGTGACCATGAGATGCCTTTGGGCAGTGACTATGAAATGAAGTCTTTGGGCAGTGACCATGAGATGCCTTTGGGCAGTGACTATGAAATGAAGCCTTTGGGCAGTGACTATGAAATGAAGTCTTTGGGCAGTGACTATGAAATGCAGTCTTTGGGCAGTGACTATGAAATGAAGTCTTTGGGCAGTGACTATGAAATGAAGTCTTTGGGCAGTGACCATGAGATGCCTTTGGGCAGTGACTATGAAATGAAGTCTTTGGGCAGTGACTATGAAATGAAGTCTTTGGGCAGTGACTATGAGGTGTCTTTGGGCAGTGACTATGAAATGAAGTCTTTGGGCAGTGACTATGAAATGAAGTCTTTGGGCAGTGACTATGAAATGAAGTCTTTGGGCAGTGACTATGAAATGAAGTCTTTGGGCAGTGACTATGAAATGAAGTCTTTGGGCAGTGACCATGAGATGCCTTTGGGCAGTGACTATGAAATGAAGCCTTTGGGCAGTGACCATGAGATGCCTTTGGGCAGTGACTATGAAATGAAGCCTTTGGGCAGTGACCATGAGATGCCTTTGGGCAGTGACTATGAAATGAAGTCTTTGGGCAGTGACTATGAAATGAAGTCTTTGGGCAGTGACTATGAAATGAAGTCTTTGGGCAGTGACCATGAGATGCCTTTGGGCAGTGACTATGAAATGAAGTCTTTGGGCAGTGACTATGAAATGAAGTCTTTGGGCAGTGACTATGAAATGAAGTCTTTGGGCAGTGACTATGAAATGAAGTCTTTGGGCAGTGACTATGAAATGCAGTCTTTGGGCAGTGACTATGAAATGAAGTCTTTGGGCAGTGACCATGAGATGCCTTTGGGCAGTGACTATGAAATGAAGTCTTTGGGCAGTGACTATGAAATGAAGTCTTTGGGCAGTGACTATGAAATGAAGTCTTTGTTCAGTGACCATGAGATGTCTTTGGGCAGTGACTATGAAATGAAGTCTTTGGGCAGTGACTATGAAATGAAGTCTTTGGGCAGTGACCATGAGGTGTCTTTGGGCAGTGACTATGAAATGAAGTCTTTGGGCAGTGACCACTATACCTATTTAACAGCTTTGATACCGATTGTAACTGCATAGTTGGTAACAGAGAAGTTGGAAATCAGACTTATAGCCTTCGGAGCATGGGGCACACTTTTCAACTGTTTCTTCTTATTCTTCATAAAAAAGGTGGTTACAATTGTGTGATTTACAGCTAGGCTGTGATATCTGCACCTTTCAGCCCAACACATACAATTCAAACAGTGACACATCGACCATATGAGGTTAGATTTGAATTTTAATAGACCAATTAGCCCTCAGTGGCTGATATGGTCAACATTACACCAGCCACCTTTACTTCCCAGGACTTTACCTGGTACCCTTTTCAGACTGGGCCGACCTGAGCTCATGTTGGACAGCCAGTAAATTATTGTTCAGCAGAAATCTTTTCACCCATCAATGGATGGTTCCTGCCATGGCAGTGTTCAGACATGTCTTATGATGCTTTGCAGATCTTTGGATGGGAGCCCCAGGTGTGGACTCCAGCTGAAGCTCAGGGAGTCAGAGCCATCCCTGATGCTATCAAACATCATTACACTGATGACCGAATCTGGATTGACTGTCACGGAGAGGTAGGCTGTTCATGTTTTCTGCTTTCTCGGCCCACACTTGGTTTATGCTTTACATTTGTTGGTGGCAGTGCTGAGTTATTTTATGTATTGTCTTTTTTTATAATTCTGTGTTTTATATGACTTTTTACTATCTTTATTAGCAATGAGTTACTTTTTCTGGTATCTTTGATATGAGAAATGTTTACTTGTTCTAGTTTCTTTGATAAGAGATATTTGTTACTTGTTCTAGTTTCTTTGATAAGAGATATTTGTTACTTGTTCTAGTTTCTTTGATAAGAGATATTTGTTACTTGTTCTAGTTTCTTTGATAAGAGATATATGTTACTTGTTCTAGTTTCTTTGATGAGAGATATTTGTTACTTGTTCTAGTTTCTTTGATAAGAGATATTTGTTACTTGTTCTAGTTTCTTTGATAAGAGATATTTGTTACTTGTTCTAGTTTCTTTGATGAGAGATATTTGTTACTTGTTCTAGTTTCTTTGATGAGAGATATTTGTTACTTGTTCTAGTTTCTTTGATAAGAGATATTTGTTACTTGTTCTAGTTTCTTTGATAAGAGATATATGTTACTTGTTCTAGTTTCTTTGATGAGAGATATTTGTTACTTGTTCTTGTATCTTTGACATTTATTGTTGTTAACCGTACCAGACCTGAGGCCCTGTACCTAACGGCCTTCTGTACCTGGGCATTAACATGAAAAAACTAACATGATATACACTAATATTAGTTACATGCAAACAAGTGGCTAGAATAAGATGAAACTTGCAAACCTTGTAGAAAATAGGTTAACCTTTTATCTAGCGCCAATATTCCACCTTTATGTGCTAAACCACCCAGCAGGATCAGCCTTGTTTCATAAAGTGAGCACCATATGTTGCTGTTTGAGGGACACGTCCCCTTTTCCTACTTTCGATCTTTTTCTAGATTTATAATTTTCAAGATTCTCCTCATCATTCCAGCTCTCACTGACTTACTTCGACTAGGAACATTTTCTTCATGAAATTATGACTCCGCAGAGTCTGAATCAACCAAAGTATCAATCACTTGTTGGATTGTGAAAAGCCTAGACCTAATTCACTTTCCTGTCGAAGTGCTTAGTTCATCAGCCACTCGTTTTATTTTGAATTTTCATAATTTTTTCACGTAAATCAACACAAATATAATCCAAACACGTGCAGGCGGACATCTGAGAAGACTATCCACAAAATCTGATTACGATTGGCTAGTTATTTTTAGTTTGTGATGCATTGTTTTCTCATAGTACGCAAATTCCCGACATTGAGGGACAGCAGATTAGGAAATTCTCGTAATAGCGGGCCAGCGGTCTAGTAGAGTTAATCACTGGTCCATCTTTTCTATTGTTAATAATTTTTTTAAATGTTATATTCTATTCAAATTCTGCAGGATGTGTTGTTTCATGGTTGTTTACTTTCTTGTTCAGAATCCTGCAGATAATGATAACTTGGGCCCACTGGAATACTCGCCCCAGCAAGGCTTCCCCAAGGCTTTCTACCCGTTCAAGAACCAGAAGGACTACCGGTCACCCCTGGTGTTTGTCAAGTTTAACAATTTCACCAGCCACCTGGGTTTTATGATTGAGTGCAAGGCCCTAGCCAAGAACATTGAAGTCGACCGGGCAGAGAAAGAGGGCAGTGTGCATTTCGAGTTGCTGATCGATGTGTGAGGCCAACCGAAACAGATCTTTCCAGGTGCATTTCTTTAGTATATCAGTTGAGATTCTTTGTTGGTCAACTTGTCTGGTCACACCAGGTGTGGTCTTCATTTTGAGTTATCATTTCAGTCATAATGCCATTTGTTTATTGAAGAAACAGTTAATTCTTTCAGTCCCAAACCACTTGCCAAGCGTTTCCAGATCATTCCAGAGATAATATAAATTATCAGCTGTCTTCTGTCACAGAAGGATGTTCTGTTAGTCTTTGTTGTCTAGATTACTAGTTTTAACTTCTCATTATGAAAAGGATATAAAACCACACAAATAGTAGACCAATGAGCTTTACAATGTAACAAAACACACAGGGAAAGTGAACGTTGTGGCTACAGAGCCTTCATCAGCACATTGTGTTTATTAACAAAACCACATGTGAGCACACGAGTGCATAAAATTACTTAAATGACTTTTTTTAAATTGCAGCCACTTTGATTTATTATGGCTTCCATATGAAAGATCTGTGAAGCCGCCATCGATGTATAGTCTGAGAAGCCTGTCTCATAGCCTCTGTGTTGAACTCCTTAAAGCCACATTATTTGCTGCCTGTAAGCTAAACTCTTTTTGGATTAGAATCGGGTAAAGCAACACCTGCTTGGGACTGAAAGAGTTGAGGGAGTAACTGTGTTATGTATATGTATAGATTAACATGCCTTCTCTTGGAAATCTGTAACGAGAAGCAGCCTAGTGTACGTAATGTTAGTGCTTCTTTAATGCGAAGGCAGATGGTAGCAAGAACCATGTTCTCATGTTCATCATACCTCTCATCAGAAAAAATTGTCAGGTATTTTATATGTATATCACAGCTGTTGCTCGTCTATGATTGGACGAAAACATCCTGGTCAGTTCGGTTGAATGACCAGTTTTATGTCACGACCACTGCAGGGATCGGCTTTTACCGTCTTTTTAATTAATCTTGTCGTTCAGCCAGCTGCTGTTGTGGTAAATCCAACGTTCCATTAACATACCGTCACAATAATTACTATTTTGCATTTATCTTTGTCATCTGGTTTTGTTAAATTTACAGTCAATGCAATCGTCGAATGGAGGGTAGAATGTGAAACCCATAGTGAGCAAATTTGTGCATTTAAGATTTACATGAGTCAGCATTTCTGTTACATTATTTTGGTGTTGCGTTTAATTTTTAACTACTGCTATACATGCTGTAAATTAATTATTTTTTTAATTCTTCCAGTGATTGTTTTTTTTTTTTAAAGGCTAGCCCGCTAATTTTTAAGAACCAGCTGTGTTATTTATCTGACAATTGCAGGATGTGTTATTGATTAAATGTATGCTTGTGTTGTTAGTTAGCTTTGTCATGGAGATGTGTATCTGACAATTGCAGGATGTGTGATTAAATGTATGCTTGTGTTGTTAGTTAGGTGTGTCATGGAAATGTGTATCTATCGCAGGATGTGTTATTGATCAAATGTGTGCTTGTGTTGTTAGTTAGGTGTGTCATAGAAATGTGTATCTATCGCAGGATGTGTTATTGATCAAATGTGTGCTTGTGTTGTTAGTTAGGTGTGTCATGAAGATGTACATGTGGTGGGCTGTATTGTTTGGTGCTGCTAGATGTTTTCATGGTCCAGTGCCATTGACCTGTGGTGTCTGGTTTTACATATATATATATATGAACAGTCAAAAACAAGATGCTTGTTCAAATTCTCAGTAAGTTTATGGGTTATTTTTATCAGAGGCACGGTCAGTGGTGAACCTCTCAAGCCATATAGCCCTAAAGCTCTAGATTTCCTGCCTTTCCCACAAAAGTAGTCAACACAGGCGGCAGTGACAGTTATGTTTTACCACAAGTATGTAAACATACGCACACATGTGTGCGTGTGTCTATATTATTTTGGTCTGTTTTTTCATGCAGTAAAGTCAAAAAATATTTTTTTTTTAAACCTAGTAATATAAAATAAATCAGCAGTAATGAAAGATAGATGACATGGTGAATGAACTTGACTAGGATATCTAGTGTAGATGAGTGGATGAGTCTCATTATCATTAATTTCAGGAGACATTTATGCTATCGGCTGAAAGGGGTTGATATTCCATATGCCCCATAATACAGGTGATCATAGGTGGGCACACATATCGGTGCTGTCGGTAGAAATAGTACTGTACCGGGTATTAATCGCAGCAGTTTAAAGGCTGTAGGAGGTACTAAAATCAGCAGTTTGGGTGCTGTAGGAGGAAATCATAGCACCAATGTGGGGTGGGGGTGGCGCTGTATGAGGAACTAGTAGCAGCAGTGTGAGTGCTGTGGAAGGAAATAGTAGCAGTAAGAGGAGGTAGAAGCAGCAGTGGCGGAAGGGGGGCCTGTAGGATGAATTGATGTGATTGCTGATCATACTGTAGGAGGAACTTGCAGCAGCAGTGTAATTGCTGATGATATTGTAAGTCAGTGGAACTAGTGGCAACAGTGTGACTGCTGATAATATGAGGCAGGGGAAACTAGCAACAGTGTGACTGCTGATAATATGAGGCAGGGGAAACTAGCAACAGTGTGACTGCTGATAATATGAGGCAGGGGAAACTAGCAACAGTGTGACTGCTGATTATATGAGGCAGGGGAAACTAGCAACTGTGTGACTGCTGATAATATGAGGCAGGGGAAACTAGCAACAGTGTGGGAGGCTGATGCTGTAGGACAGTAGAATTATTATCACTAATGTTATTGTGGATGTCGTAGATCAAGAAAACTAGGGGCAACAATGCGATGGTAGTAATGTAAGGATGAGTGGAACTAGCACCAAAACTGTAATTGCTGCTGATGCAAGGCAGGGGAACTAGTATAAATGTAAGGCAGGAACTAGCTGCCGCCAGTGCGGTAAAGGGAACTACTTGTAGCAGCAGAGTGATTGCTGTTTGTATAAATGTACAGGTAATACATGCAGTTGTGAGACTGGGAGTTGCATTGCGAGAGAGACTGACAGAGAGAGGAACTTATATCTCACAGTTGTGAGGCTGGGAGCTGCATTGCGAGAGAGAGACTGACAGAGAGAGGAACTTCTATCTCACAGTTGTGAGGCTGGGAGCTGCATTGCGAGAGAGACTGACAGAGAGAGGAACTTATATCTCAGCAGTGTATGCTGAACCATGTCATATTACACGGCTGAAGATGATATTTGTCTTAGACATTTTACCCCGTGAAGAGCTTTTTATTTTACGCATTGTCTTGTTTACAACCCATTTATCTGGGGTTTAGTAACTTCCAATAGACATGTTTCCCTGATCATCTTCATTTATTCCTATTTATTTTTGCTGTTGGTACATTTTTAATTTTTACCAGAAAGGCGTAATAACTGTTTGCTTTACGAAAACAATCATATGCTTACATATATGATGGTGTATTTGTCTGAGTTTATCAGACCCTCTGGTCATAGATCATTGAGTACAAATTATTCCATATTTATATCACTGATTTTTAGCTTTCCACGTTGACCATTACTGACAGCTAAAAACTGCATACTATAAAATAGCGATCAGCTATTTGTATCATGAATTCCTACTAAAAATGTATAGTTTCCATTTTACCAGTGAGTACAGTTTATTTGTTGTAAATACATTTTCCTACCATGGCCACGCAAAATCCCTGTGTTTCAGTTCGTTCTATTTATGACTAATTTGACCATGACACTTTAAGTCTAGAATGTTTTATGTGCTTATTTGGCTAGAACTCTTTAACTAGCATAATCCAGTTTCTTGAGTCACTGATAGGTTCATCCTTTGTGTCGCCAGGTAGGTTCATCCTTTGTGTCGCCAGATGAAACTTTAAACTGTTGATGTTCAGTTGCTGCTCCTGATTTTGTCTTGCCTTCTGTTTGGCTTCTTTTAGTTTTGCAACCTATTGTTTGTTCTCGTTAAATAGCTGTTTGAATATTGATATTACATTTTTTTTATTTAAGCCAAAGATTATATTCGTAGTCCTAACATTTTAAAACTGGTCTTAAAAATGTATCCCTGGTTTGCACATTAAATGCATGCTTAGACACTTGTCTTTAAAAAGAAATTTATATATATAAATATGTGTTAGCTTGACAATCGACATGTTTACATATTAACTAGTCATCTTTGAGAGAAAAGGGTGTGTCTGTCGTTTTATGAATAATTTAAATGTGAGCACACAACTTTTTATTTTTTCCCGGAAATATTAAGTTTGCTGAGGAGCGGCTGGCCAACCAATTAAGAATGGTGGGCTCTAATGGAGAGATCAGGTTTGAATCCTTGGTAAGGAAATGGATCTTTTCTGTCATTTGAAAAAATAAATATGAAATGCTGTGACGACTGCACCAGCCATGCTTCTTCATACCCATAGTCTCAAGAACACCCCTTCTTTTCCTTTTTTACACCCGGCCCTCAAAGAGATAGGCACAAGCAATCTTTTTCTCATTCACCAGCTGTAAACTCGAGGAAAGTTCTGGTTGTTCATCCACTTGTAGACTTTAGTCTTGTTCCAGAGCCTGAGTTTTGCATGCACATCCTTTTTACAGATCTGGTGTATCTGTATACAGACTGTTGGTTCCTTGCCTCTCAGTCTAATGCTTTTGGAGGCAGTAGGTCTTTCCCCAGTTGGGCCATAGAACCAGCGCCGATATATATATATATATATATATATATATATATATATATATATACAGGCAGTATTGACCTTTTTTTTAATGAAGTTATTTAGGAGTGTTATTTGGGCAGCAGTGACCCCCATTACCTACAGTAGTTGTGCAGATGACCCCTGGTCAGTCCAGGTATACATTTCTGAGATCAGTAAACATTACCCTGTTGAGTTTCCTTGTTAATGAGAATTGATCTGATGATTGGGCTCATATCCCTTTGATCTGAAATGTTGCATGATGAAATATATTGAGAATAACATTTCTTATAACTGTAATATAATATCTGTATGTTACTATTGTGTACTTCCTCTATGTTAGATTACCTGTAGGTGTTATTTTTAC